CAGTTTACCTGTATGAGTTGTGTTCCAATTGATTATTCTGTTTTGATTGAATAATCACTTAATCCCTATTCACTGCATTAATCAGATAGCTAAGCGTTCGTTCGAATTATCCAATTTTTAATTTTCATCATGATTTTACGCAGTTTTAAAACAAATTAGATTTCATGGCTTAGGCTGTTCACTTGAAACTAACTCTTGTAGCGAATATTCAAATTTGACAACTTGGAACGAACTTCATTGCCCGCATCATTTCCTCAATCACGATTATAATCATGTTCCCTCTGTACCATCAGCAGATGCAATAGAAAGTACCATTATTAGTCATCGCTTTCGAGGTTTGGTGCAAATAGTTGATAATGGATTGCATATATTCAAAACGGGTTCAACATTAAGGTTCATTGAGTCAAGGTACCTCCAACTGAATGCGCAGTTTCTTCTGATGTTAATCGATGTCATTTGCTCACTTATCCGATGCGCTAGTTGCTGCGAAATGTCTGCGTCTGCAATATAAAACTGTATATTTTGAAATTCTGAACTGTCGTGCGGAATTTCGGCAAGGAATTCGGCACAAGTAACAGCAGCAATAATTGAACATCTGATAGAATGTGCATGGAAGCGTGTTGAAGCGAAATCTTTAATTACATTATTCATTCAATGCTCGGTGTCATTTCCTGTTCACTTCAAATTCATGTTAGTACTCCTCTGGCATTGGGAACAATCGATTAGGAACAATGCTAGTAGTGTTTTGTTAAATTCGATGTGCACAGTCGGATTGGATTTATCACGGCGTTGTCAGCGGTCCCGAATGTGCTCTTAATCGTTGCAATGAAATTCAGTATTAGTGCTATTGAGGATCGGAATCATGAAAAGTTGACCGATTTCGAGCTGATAAATAATCCACATCTCAATCTCACTAAATTGACATTCATTCAGTCCATTCGATGAAAATCCTTCAGTACAATCGACGTTTTTGACCTGTTCAGTAGAATTGCAAACAAATTCAAAAATAACTGCAAGCATTTCATGAAGACGGGACATCAATAAAGATATGAAGTGCCCAGAAACTCGTAATAATCAGTTCACTTTGAAATATCTCAATAGAATATGAGAATATTATCAATACTGAATAAATACATTCAATGAAGCATTTCGAATGTGATTCATCCACGTTCCTTACAATCAGTAATACTTGAAACATTAGTGTTATTTAAGTGAATAACTTTTGATGCATGTAGCAGCATATAACGGTGATCAGTTCGAATCAAATCACCTTCGATACCCGTAGATAAGTGATTAAGAAAGGATAATGTAATCCATCAATAGAATGTTACTTATTAACACTCATTTATCATCGCTCTTTTTGTTCACATTCATACCGACATCAACAATGTTCACTTGTCATCGCTCATTTACGGTTGGTTCATTCAAATCGTTTACATTACATTACATTATGTAATGCGACGGGCATTCATTGATTATTCATCTGTTGCGTTAAGTGGATCAGTCACACTGTTGTATCCTTTTTTGAGGCTGACTCTGACCTAAAATTAACATCTTTGCTTAATTTGAACAGTGTCTTTGCATGATCATTTGACAACCGCCACTTTCACTTGTCATGAATTTCTCCGTGTTCATGACTCGGTATTCCATTTGATCATGGCGAATTTCCTTTCGGCGATCACTGAAACAATCCTTTCGGTAATCACGAGGAATATCCTTTCATTCCACTGGATCTTCGAAAAGAAGTCCTCTGTGATTTTGAAATCAGTTCAACGCGAACAGATTTAAATGAACAAACAGCTCACCGATTTTATGTAACCAAACCAGATCACATGATTTTCAACTGTCGATTTAATTCCATTGTTGGTGTTTTTCATAAATGCCTGATTCCAAATCAATCATCGAACGCAATTTGCCAGTTTCTTTTCATTACTTCATCTGATTACTTGATCATACCAAAATGGAATTTTTCAATGACCTTCTCTTAAGAAAGAAAGATAAGAGAAAATGTCACCGATGATCAAAAAACGTTCGGGTGAGTGACGAAAGAGGAAATCTATTCTGAAACCAACATTCATTATCGAAGTGATGTGGGTTTGAAGAAGTGGAAACGGCTGCAAATCCGTGTTGTTTAATGAGAGTAAAAACAAATGATTGAATGTATTGATAGCTGATCAATATGGGAGCAGAATTCATGACTGAAACCTACCAAGTAGTTGTCGCATTCTGTATTTTGTGTTCTACGGAATAATTTTTCAAAATTTTTTACATAAACGCATTAACATTCATCTCGATCAACTCAATAACTACATCGTTCCATCATTTTGTTCGTTTTGCTGCAGCAACACAAAATTAATCAACGCATTACAAATGAAGAATCAACCAAATATGTCAATTCGCATAAAACTATTCACAATTCAAAATAACACTTCAACACATCCATTGAATTCATCATCATCACCGCCATTATAATTGTATTTTGATAGCGACGACCATCCATCGTGTTTTAAGAGTTCTTCGTGTGGTTACGGTGGCGCTTCAGAATGGGCAAAAGACGAGAAAGATACCGAGAAGGAAGAGGACGACGATGAGAAGGCTGGTGTGGCCGTATATCCCTGGATGACACGTGTTCACTCCACTAATGGTTGGTTTTAACTTCGCATTAGCTCCGATTTGATCGCTGATAAAGGCTGATTGATCGGAACCTCTAAAGGTCTTGAGATAATCAGTTCGTATCAGTCGATATCTAACTGGAATGTGAGGAAACGTTACGGTTGATCAGCATCACACTTCACCAAAGTATTCACCAAAGCAAAGAGCCTCACGCCAGACTTGAAAAGCTAGCAATAAACAACTTCAATTTGCTTCCAATTCAAATTCTTGCACCATTTTGTCTCATTAGATTGCAGAAAACGAACTGAAAATGACCACAGGTGTGTTGATATCGTGGAATTTCCATGGATTCAGCTACCTATCACTTCAATTTGATATGCGCATTCATTCAGCAAATAAAGTCTTCCATTGAAATAGTCAATGACTCACACTATCCTATTCCAATGTGCATACACACATAATTGAACATTTCTCAGCGATAATTGCGATGTAATTACTGCACGAATTCTTCTCAACTTCTGATCTGACTCCATACTATGTATTTGACACCATATTTCACATTCTCTTCAATCGTTGGGCGCTTCGAAACGTATGCTTACTATAATCACTCAAAATGAAATTATGGCAATCCAGTGTCACCAACCATATGCGCTGAATCATGCATAAGAATTTTTGCACCACAGTATAACGATATCATACAAAACATTTCATACTCATCCAAAAAAAATTTATTACGGTGTAAAAATAATTCCTCATTCATGATCGCCACTTCATGATCTTTTGCATAGTTATCCATGCCAGATCGATCAATTTGGCAAGCATTTTCATAAGCGCTTTCGAATTGGATATCCCATATTGGATATCTCAACCAAAATTTATTTTGTGACAGTTTACACTGAAATACTCAGCATGTTAGTTGTAAAGATGTTAGCTGGTACAATTCATTGTACCATGTGCATTCATTTAACGAAATATACATTCGAAAATCTTGGATGAATATCAGGGAGAGAGCTTTGGTCGTTGAACTGTGACAGGCTCGACTTGAGTTCCTGAAAGGACGAGCAGATTTTGCGTTGCGAGGGCTCCATCATTCAATGCGGATATAGAGGCCATAAATAAATTTGTGTGAACTCAAGTGATTTATTCATTCACATACACAAGTTTATATTA